GAGGTTTTATAGTACTGTGATTCAAATACCCCAATGTTTTTGGTTGGAAATATGCAGCCATATATCAAGCCAAGCCACTCACTGCTTGCTTAACCCTGCTGCAGGTGAAGCTTGTGTGAATCTAATCAGCTCTGAACTGCTGTATTGCTGGTAGCTCCAATACTGCCTCATACAAGATCTGTCTTGAAGCACCGATGTTGCAGCTGAAATAGATTGCAGTGACTACTTTCTACCCAGCTGTAGTCGGTTCATACCCCCAGCCCTTAAGAGGCCTTGGAGACCTGCCCTGTTTGGAGAGGTGTTTGTACCAAAGCAGGAAATGGGTTCTGCCCCTGGCAGTTCAAGCACAAAGTGTTCCTCCTGAACCTGAGCAAGTGCTGCAAGAAGCAAACATCTTTACCTCTAGAGGTAATACTCCTGATCCCTAGGACCGGTGGGTCTAATCAGAGGGTTGTTGATACTTGTAGTAAGTCAGCAGAGTCTTTGAAATGGGATTCTGGTCTGCCCCATAGAGCATGTGGTACTGTGGGACAGAGAGAAGCTCCTGCTGGGCAGTGCAGCAGGGTTAAGTGATCTCTTCTGGGCAGGAGCTTTCAGCAACTGTATTGGGTGGGCCTGGCAGCCTTGTTCTGCCTGCTAAGCACTTAATCCCCTCCTGTCTAGTGTACTCTGCTTAGCATCCATAAGGCAGTTTTAAATGTTCCTGGCTTTTTCCCCTCTCCTGTTTAATCCCTCTAATGCTGCAGACAGTTGGTCCAGTTCCCTGTTTCTGCTGGAGCAGGCACACTGCTTGGGGAGGAGATGGGAAGGAGCTGCTGGTAGTTGGGCTCCCTGAGCAGCTGGGTCCAGCTCCTTCCCTGCTGTCAGCTGCTGCTGTTCTGCCTTCCTGTGAAAAGAGCTGCCTAACAAAATGGCTTGGATATGAACTGCAGTTTTATATAAAGGCTTAAATAACTGTTAAAGATACCTGCCTTGTGCCTTCACCAGCTGAGTTCTGGATAAAAGCACTGCAGGAGTGAATTCACTGAAATATCTGGTCTAATAGCAGGTGCTCGTAAGGTGCTATAGTATGCTCTGGTATACAGCATTTATGGTAAGACTCTGCTCAGGACTCTGTGTGCCATTTACCCATATGCTTTTACTGCTATTTTGGGACAAGCTGGCTTAATCATTTCTGCACCAGCTGGAACTGTATCCTAGTGAGCAGCATCCCCAGGCATCACTGTTGCCTTGAAGTCGTATCTTAAAGCTAGAGTATCCATGCAATTGCAGAGTCCCCACTTTCTTGTATTTTTAAATCTCTGCTGCTCATAAACTGTTTCTCCATTCTTCTTGGTAGAGAAGGAAGATGCCATTTTTCCCTTGAATGGAGGATGGAGCAGCTTCCCAAAACAAAAGCACTCCTGTTTCAGAAATAACAGCAACATGTCCCCTGTCAGTGTTTCACTTTCTCAAAGCAGTGCATCCTTTGGCTAATGGCCTCCCTCACACAGAAGGGGACCTAGCCAGTCCTTCCTTAGGGGTGGGCTGGGTAGACAGATGTGTGGGTACTATTTTGCAAGGGGATGGTTCTGTGCTGCCTGTAGCTGTGATGAATGAGTTGCCTTTTTAGAGGTGAAGCTGTGTCCCAGAGACTAGGATGCTATGCAAAGCAAATCTTTGACCAAATTGAGGTCACTGCTGCTTGCTTATTATTCAGCCTTGGCTGTGATTACTGAAACTTTGTGCACTCAGTATTTAGATACGTGAAATTAATCTGGCAGGTTTTGTTCTCACTCTGTTCCTTTGGCCTTGACTGTTCTTCTTGGTTGTTTTGTGGGGATACTTGACTGAATTATTAACAAATACAGCTCCAAATGCTTTAGCATTGCTGGCTGCTTCTAACCAAATACTTGGCTATGCTGCAGCATCTTCTGTAGCTGCACCTTCACAGCTTGGAAGGTGTGAATGTGTGTGGGCTGGTCTGAACAGGGCCCAGCACCAGGGCCTCTGTGCTAGTTGGCAGCAAGTAGAGTATGAGATTAACAGTGAGCAACAGAGCATGAGGCTCGCCTTACAGGAATGCTGGGGCATGAGGCAGGAATTCACATATTTATCCTACAAGTACAAAGTGAGTGCAAGAGTAAATGGATGCTTAACCAGGTGAGTAATTTCCATTTCATCAGAGCTGGATGGATGCAGAAACAAAATTAAATCAGTGTCAGATTGGGCATGTATTCACTTGACTAGCGAAATCATAGCAATTCACAGGAATGATTGCTGTTGTGTCACAGGATTGGCAAGCCCTTCTCCTTTTAATGAAGACAATGATTTTTTTACCTTTTAAAGGAAAGTAAAATTAGTTCTAGTTGTTTGTGGTCAACCTCTGAAGCCTTAAACTGGAGGAACTCCTTCTATACGTACCAGTGCATACTGGTGGTGGCTGAAAGCACTGAGACTTGGAACAAAGGTAGCTTGCAGCTGGTCCCTACCACAGCCAGAAATAAATGCTGTGGCAGAAAACTTGTGAGTTCAGCATGTTTAGTCAGCAAAGTTTGAATGTATCGTGTGCATCTAGCAGAAGGCAGCATCTAATGCTCAAAGGTAGATGCTTGAAGAGCATCTTGACTCACTTACCAGTGGGCTGCTATGCTGTTAGGTTAATAAAAGGCTTCAGTTGCCTTCCATATAAAAGGCATGGTTGACCTAAAAGTCAGAGATGTTGGATCACAGTATCTACTGGTGCCCACAATGCTTAGGGCTCATGCTCAGTGTCTAGCACGCATCTCCGGCTTGTCTGTACTACTGTTGAAGAGTTGCAGGATGGAGAACTAAAACAGGGTTCTATGTATTTACTTTTTTCCAAAGTCATATTTCACTAACATATTCTAAGCAGAATATTTGATTAGAATAATAGATTCATTTAAGTTGGAAGAGACCTTTAAGATCAAATTCAGCTGTAAACCTAAGACTGCCAAGCCCATTGCTAAACCATGTCCCTAGGTGCCACATCTACATGTTTTTGAAATACATCCAGGATGGTGATTCCACCACTTCCCTGGGCAGCCCGTTCCAGTGCTTGACAACCCTTTTGGTTGGGGGGTGTGGGAAATTCCAAATACATAATTGAAACCTCCCCTGGTGGAACTTGAGGCTATTTCCTCTTTTCCTGTCACTTTTTACTTGGCAAAAGAGACCAACATCCACCTTCTTACAGTATCCTTTCAGGCAGTTGTAGAGGGTGATAAGGTCTCCTCTGAGCTTCCTTTTCTCCAGACTTAACAACCCCAGCTCCCTCAGCCACTCTCCATAAGACTTGATCTCCAGACCTGTCACAGCTTTGTTGCCCTTCTCTGGACATGCTCCAGCACATCAATGTCCTTGTAGTGAGGGGCCTAAAATGAACACAGTATTTGAGGTGTTACCTTACTTGTACAGGGAGACAATCACTTCCCTGCTCCTGCTGGCCACACTATTGCTGATGCAAGCCAGCATGCTGTTGGCCTTCTTGGCCACCTGGGCACTCTGCTGGCTCATGTTCAGTTGCTGTTAACCAGTACCCTCAGGTCCTTTTCCACTAGGCAGCTTTCCAGCCACTGCTCCCCAAGCCTGTAGCCCTGCATGGGGTTGTTGTGGCCCAAGTGCAGGACCTGGCACTTGGCCTTGTTGAAGCTCATACAGTTGACCACAGCCTGTTGATTCAGCCTATCCAGGTCCCTCTGCAGAGCCTTCCCACCCTCAAGCAGGTCACCACTCTCACCAAACTTGGTGTTGTCTGAAAACTTACTGAGAGTGCACTTGATCCTAGATTAGATTAGTATTAACAGAGTAGTCTTTAAGATCTCTTGTCACCAGTTTGTAACACCTTACAGGTCTCAAAGGTAGGAAAAATCTGTAGCTGTTATTTTCTAGTCAGTAATTTTTATCCATGGGCATTAAATATTGACTATATTTAATGGCATTTAAAAATAGACTTGCTCAGAACAACTTCTAACCTTATTGTAAGGCTTACTTACAGCCTTTCTCTCAGATTTATGAAGCATTGCAGTGCTATACCAGATACTGGCTTCTTGCACCCAAACTTCTATATGTAAGAAGTAGTATGTGGGAAATGTCAAGAGCTGCCAACTGTGAGGCACCACAAGCAAAGGCAAACCAGTTCTTCCATAGCACTGTAATGCAAGAAGACTGGATCTTATGGAACAATTGTTTCCCTGTGGTTTTATTATCTAATATATAATGCTTATTCAGCCTTCAGTGTTGCTTTACATCTGCAGATTAACAACGGTACAGACTTTAAATTCACCCTTGTGAACCCTACTCTGCATAGCCCATGCCTGGAGGACAAATACTCGACCCTTGTTATGGAAGGTTTAAAAAGCTTGTGTGGGGGACATGAGCATCAGAGAGCATTGCCTGTAGAGTGTGGTACTTAAATGTAAAACATACTTCACAGATCTGATAGCAAGGGTGATGTCTGTCACTTTGTAAGTCTTTGCTTCATAATCCCCTCTGATCCATACACAGAAAACCATAATCAAGATGGATGTATAATCAGGGAGCTTGAAAAGGAATCGCTTTTTTCTTTTCAGTAGAAGCTAATGAGGGTTAAATATTGCACATATCAGACTTAATCTCTGACTGGCTGGCAGCATCTACAGGGCATTCAGCAGTCCATCTGTTTGCTGTCTGAAAGATGGAAGGATGAAATAGTGAAGACAGAAGATCACTGGAAACAGCCTTTAAAATGCTGCCTGGAGCTATTGGTTATCTGTAGCCTCACTAGCGAAAGGCATGTTTAAGTATGTGAAAGCCAATGTACAGAGGGATGGGCTTGGAAATACTGTAGTCACCAAAGAAAGAATGAAGGCATTTAAGAATCTGTTGCTAAGGAAGTAATTACTTCTTCCACCACTAAAAAAAGCACAGCTTCAATTATATACTAAGAGAGTCTGAAAATCAGATGTTAATATGCTGTCAATGGGAGCTTAAAGCTTAACTTTTTTCCTTTAGAGAAAGAAAGAGAAGATCAAGAAAAGCAGCAGAAGGAAGAGCAAGAAAAAACTGTAGAACACACTTCTGTCAAGGAAGCTGACAAAACCAGCCGTACAGGACAACGTCCAAGTCGAAGTGCCTTGTCCAGTCGTAATGATCGAAGATCAGCCAGAAGTCATCAAAAGACAGATGCACCAAAGGAGAATAAACATCCATTTGCTCTGTATGGGTGGGGAGAAAGACAGACAGATACTGGAAGCCAGAGGACTCACAATGTCTGTGCTTCTGCTTCAGCAAATGAAGTAAGTAAAAGCTTCTGCTTTGTTAAAGGGCAGTGACTAATTAGTGCCTGGATAAGACATATGTCTATTATCTAGGTAAAACTTCTCTGGGATGCCTTTATTTGAGTGCGAGGAGATTCTAGCAATAAATTCTCAAAAAAAAAAATTCTAGCAATAAACCTGAGAGGCTTGACATGTTCACATCAAATAGCTCTTAACTGTGAATTAGTTTTGAAGCTTCCCATGTTTGACTAGTGCTTTCAAGTTCTGATTGAAACTTGGCTATCTTGTTTCTGGCTGTTACGGCACTACCAGTAAAACTGGTTGCTATAAATGTATTTCTGCATTCTGAACTTAATGAATACAAGAGAAAAGCAGCAGGCAGTTAGCACCAGGCATCCCACAACAACAGGCAGGTCCATAAACACTGGGGCAGGGCTTGTACTGTCAAAGAGTGACTTTCCTTGGGGCACTGCCTAGGAGTAGGAGCCCCATGTCTGTCCAGCAGCCTGTTTGAGCAGGTTGCCAGGAGGGAACTTTTTGCTGACAACAGAATGGTCTATGGGATGGATTGCAAGGTTGATGTAACTATTAGCAAAATAGAACAACTAAAATTCATATGGTCATGGACAGCACCAGTTTTGCTGTAGAGGAGTCTGTTTCCTGGCTTAGCAAGAAACACTAAGGTTGGAGTGTTACAACAGATCTGTTTCTTTTCTGTAACCCTCCTAGGCTGGTAAAACACAATCCTTGATGTATCCCTGCCAGTTTGTCTTTATCTTACTATTGATGTAGAGTCTGAATCTATGACCCAAGGTATCTGAGGATTAAGATGGGTGGTGGTGTTGATGTGTAAGATAGAGCTGACTTCTGATGGACTGCTGTGGAAGGGGTTTGAAGCATAGCCTCTTTTCCTCCTGGACAGCTCAACTCTTCGAGGGAAATGAGCAACATGGGCCTTGCAGTTCTGGAAAGAAGCTGCCCTCCCCAATCACAGACACTGTTACTGGATTGACCAGCTTTGGTCAGTGGTGGAAACAGTTGGGTGATGCTTTATGTTGAAGCCTAACAGAGGCCGATGCCTGACTTGAGCAGAGATGTTTACACTTTCTAAGACTTCTAACACTATGCTAGAAACAGTTACCCCTAAGATCAGGTCTTGAGTTTGGAATGAATGGGCAGGACACTACTGAACCACTTCCAGTTGTGTGGTGCTTTGTCACTAAGGTTATTGAAGTGTGCCTTGGCTATTTACTGCCTGGCTAGGTCACTGTTCTTGAATGTCTGGAAGGTTTTACTTTCCCCTAAATGAGATGAGAGATGAGGTTTTAAATGTGAAAATAGAAGGAAGCAAAGACAGAAGCTGGCTCTTAAGATGAAATTTGGGGAAAATATGATGGTTTGTTAATATAAAAATGTATGTAAGTGTGCCTGCAGCATGCTGTCAAATTAAGTTCTTCAGTCTCTGGTAAGGAGTCTCTAAGGATTTGTCTTATTACTGTGGCTTAGGTTTTTAAAGGATGCTTGGGCATATTGAGGGATGTTTAAGAATTTAAAATGGTAGAAATAGGAGAATCAAGGTTTTTACATTGTTAGAGTAAGATTGGGAAACATTCAAGAATTTTGGAATTGTTTTATAGTATGAAGTGGGAAAGATAATACAGACTAGAATTTGAGGCATCTTTAATACAAAATTCTGTACTTCTGCTAGTGGTACAAATTATGGAAGAAAATATAATCTTGGTAACAAACCCCGTTTCTTCAGGATGGGGATTGGGACAAATACAAAGTGGTCGTCAGCCCCTGGGGGGAGCAATCTTGGGCTGTTTTACTGCTGTAATACCAACTCTGGTCTTTTAGATTCACGAATCTGCTCTACGAGCAAAGAACAGGAGACAAGTGGAGAAAAGGAAGCTTTCCCAGAGGCGAGTGCAATCTGCAGAAGCAGAGAAAGACTGGCAAATAAAGCCCTCCCCACCAGATAACCCTTGGATGACAGAGTACATGAGATGCTACTCGGCAAGAGCTCGGTGAATTTGGATTCCCTTGGGCATCTTTGAAAGAGGTTATGCATATCAGGACACTGGTGCAAGGAACCAAACTACTTATGCAAGGTTTTTATAGGGAGTTTCCAGCTGTTAAAGTATTTGCTACAATATTTTTATCTTGGCTACCTACCTCACAGTGGAGTGTATTGTTGGAGCCATAACATTTGAAGAGGCTTTTAGATATAGCTACCCAAACTTTTAAACAATTCCCCTTTTGGGAATCTTTTTAATGCTTCAGTTGACTTGTTTTGGAGGTGGGAGGGGGAAACCTTAGCATACAGAGAGTCAAACACTTTTTTTGATCTTGGTTATGAATAATCTGTTGTCCCTTTTAAAAATCCAAGTCACGGGGAGGTGGTGTTGGGGGGAGACTTTTAAGGTGTGTGATGGAGGTGCCTTTGCATTTATAATATTTAATACTTCTAACAAAATAAGTATATTAAGACAGGCAACAGGAAAACCAGTGGTCTGGTAAACAGCACTAACAAATGTAGATGCTTTAGGCAGGCAAATACCAAGTATTGTCTGCATACAGAAACTTTCAAAAAAAACCTTGTTTGATTAGTGAGTCTGCTGATTGGAACTTTGATTGCTGTTTCTAAGGTCACAGAAAAATAATTTTCAGGGCAAGAAACAGCTGCAGGTTTGTTTTGCTGTTGCTGTGTCTGTTGTACCAAATAACTGATGTAGACAATCATTATCCGAGAGCTGCTGTTCAATAAGCAGCTGCTTGTTCTACCAGTGTCAAGTTGTACCACTGTATTATGCTTGTGGTCGCACTCACTCTGTGCTTAATTATGTAAATGCCAGTTTATTAAAGGAGAGGGCTGGCTCCTGTCTAGTGAGGTCTATTTTAAACACTTAAGAATATCTATTATTCTCAGTGGGTGTCAGAGTGCAATATGCATTCCATTTGGTAGTATTGTACAAGTGTACTGTTACAGGTTGTAAACTTGAAAATCACGTTAATAAAACCTGTAGATGAAGTCCTGAGAAGCTTTTTGCTTCTCAAAAATGGTGCAGAACCCCTCGCTGTAGGGGGTGAGGGCTAGGGGAAGGAAAGGTGTACTCTTTAGTAAATAAGAACATATGATGGGGTTTGAATGCTCTCACTTTGTAGGTCCTACTTCTCCATAGTAAGACAGTCACTGTTTGTGAGATCCTCAGTGTGGTTTTTTTCCCTCAAGCTGCTGTAAGTTATTTTTTTCTGTTTGATAACTAAGCTTTAGGCAGACTATTGCTGTAGCTGTGAGCTTCAAAGTTTTGTTCAGATGTGTTGTGTGTTAGTTACCTATGTTGGTTATCTCAGTTTAATTGTTTTGGAGTTTGTATTTTACAGACTGGACACCTTCTCACAGGAAGCACACTTGCACTTCTGCAGCAGAAACCTGCACTAGTCTTAGCTTCATTCTGCAATCCCAGTGAGTAAGCAGGCCTCTAGAACTACTACTACCACACAGAGTTATGTGCTTAGGGACAGTTTGACTGTAAGTGTTACTGAAAAAAAGTAATTATGCAAAGGGATCAAGCACTGCTGCCTCTTGGTGTTTATTACATTACATCAGTAAAAGTTTCCTTACTCTCAGTTTTGATCTTACTAAGATGCCCTGGGATCCATTAAGTGGTAATGATTATTACCTGCCTTTTAAGAATACAGCTATAAAAATACAGACAACTCTTGTTCAGGCTGCCTACTAGAGATCTTACAACTTTTAAGTCTGGGAATGCAAAGTATGATTAAGTATGTTTTATACATAGTAAAAATGACTGTATTCCAACTTTTAAGTAAACCATGGGCTAGAACTTCCTAAAACTTCAGAACAGTGCCCGAAACTGAGGCAAACTATTCCAGAGGATGCCTTTCTTCCATATGAGATTCTTTTAACTTCCTTTTATGCTTTGTTTTCTTCTTTAAATAGCTGCTGTAAATAGACTGAAGTTGCTTTGGATGCTGTTTCAACTCAGAAATCTACCCTAGCTTTGAACAGCAGTATCAAACCACTCAGTAGTGTTTAACAGCCTTACTGAATAAAAACTCTGCCTGTTCCTGTTGCCCACAGGCTTTATGTAACTTCAGCAGAGGGACTGTATCCTCAGTGCACTCTGTCACATTAAACAGTTTCTGTGATTGTGTAGGGCAGGATTTGTCTTGCCATACTTTCAAAGACAGCTTCCACACTTCTCTTCCCACTGAGAATGGAGGAGCCAAGATGACTATGTGCCTGCCTTAAGTACCCATTTTTGGATAAGATGGATCTCCCATTAGATGTTGGTCTTTCCAATAATTATAGAAGGCTTAAATGTCTCTTGCCTTGGATACTGGGTACCTTAAAACATCTCAAACCAACAGGCTTGTTCAGGTCTTCTACAGAGCGTGAGAATTTTCAGCACCACAAAGGTTGCTGTGTACTGAGTAAACGATCTAGTTCTTATCCTTGTCTGATCAAGAGCTGTCCCCCACCAAAATGATTTGGTGGAAGATGGCAGTGATGCTAATCAGGTCATGTGAGTCACTGTCATGCTTTTTAATATGGTCTGTAGCTAAAAATAATCCTGGGTGCTACATTGGTACTATCATGGTTTAAGTAATACAATGCCTAAAGTAAGGGGTAAATAATTCTGCAAATCACGCAGCCTTCCTGCATTTGGGCATTATTTGACTACAAAAAGGCCAGGTTTGTTTATGCTATGTGAAATAGTACAGTTCTGATCTCTGCAAGCTGTATATGCAAAATGACATGTGCTAAGCTGAAGTCTGGAAAACTTATTTTAGTGTTTTGACATTAACAAATAGAAAGCCAATTGACTTGGAAAGCACAACTTTTCAAGTATAAAAGCTTTAACTATAGATTCTTACAGGAGGTGGCTGTTTTGCAGCAAATTGGACTGACAAAAAATGTAAAATGTAGTGAATGTCAACCTATCAGTTAAGGAAGTTCTGAACTTTGTCTTGCATGGACTCTTGAATTCAGCCAAGTGATGAACACTTCTCTCTCCTGTTTTAGAAGTAAAACTTGGTTTGTAAGAACACAGTAAATACTCAGTTGTCCACAGTCTTCATCGAAATAACTGCTTATTCCATTTTGTTCCTGAAAGTACTTAGCTAAGTAAAACAAGACTTTCAGTGTGTAATGCTGCAATTTAACTATAGTGTTGTGAAGACTAGTGTTCTAGTGTTTACAATGTAAAATGTTACAGTAAAAATGCATAAGAACGTCCCTGTAAAATGCAGTAGCATGCCTGTTCAGTCACTGCTGTCACATCTTTGCTACTATGGATTAGAGAATTTTTTTCACTAGAAGCTGAGCTAGTCAAGGTGGTAGCAAAACTTAAGAGCCAAACTTGAAACTGAGGGACAGACCTGAATTTTTGGGAAGAATTTTATCCACGTAGCAAATGCACATTCTAATCACATTTTCACCACATAGGGAAGTGTATCTGTTCTCATTTTTTTAATGCTATAATGCAGTGTCACTGAATTATAAAGGCCTCTGACTTTTATTTTTTTTACTGTGATAAGGACCAAAAGCTAACAATCTGAGGGCCTTATGTGATAACCTGGATATTCCAGTTTATTTTCCAGCTCAGTGCACTCGGCAGCAAAGCCATATATGGAGCCTGACTCAACACCTTGACAGTAGTCCCTATGAAATTAGGGGTCCAAGTGAATGGGAAGTTGCCTCAGCTATTGTTAGCACTGAAATCACTTTAAAAACTATATAGGGAAATACCATCTAAGCTTGAAGCAATATGTGTTTTTTAAAGTTTTTAAACAGTATTTGTTTTTAATGCTTACTGTATTGTCTGTATTTGATAGTGTAGTGTCAACTTGTAGATGTGAATAAAATGAGTGACGGAGTGCCTCAACTGCTTGTACTGTTTTTTTGAGTCTCAGGTTTTCCATTTCCAGGGCTCTTGAGTCTCTGCATGCAAACTGTGGCTTCTGCTTGTCCCATATTCTCTCTCCTGAAAAGTGACAAGCTCAGAAATGACTGGTGTTGGGTGTAAAGGGTTAGGTTACAGCTTGTTTCATGTGCTTCCTGTAACCCTCCCACAGTCTTAATACCATTTTTGAATCTGACTGGCTTTTCTTTTTTACCAATAACAGGGAAAAAATAGGCAGCTATTATAATTTCAGCTCTGAAGTGCTATGCATCTTAATTTAGAACTTTGGAGAAAGAGGGTAATGAGGGGAAAAAACAGGAAGCAGCATAATCTTGCAATGGGGAAAAGTTAAGCTATTAAAGGATGACTTATACAGCAGTTCTACAGTAAGTGAAAACGACTTGGTATTTTTGTTCTCTCTGAATTTACAATGCATTTGAGATTTTTATAGTGTGAATTCCTTCAGCATATATAGTATAGAATAGTATAGAATGGAAATGAGTGAGCAGAGTAATCAAGGTTTTTTTAAATTGCATTAATTTTGAAGGGCTTCTGGCAGCTGTGTACTTTTGAACCTACTTGAATATAAAGAATGGATGAGGTAAGTAAACTGTGAATTTGATCTGAATTGTGAATAGTCTGGAGAAACATCTTCCCCTTGCTTTAGATATTTTTTAAAGCATTCACTTCTGAAGTGACATTCTCCAGGAGGCCCAGACAGATCCACCTCAGCCCTAGGCATTAGTGCACAAGGGCACAGAGAGCCAAGTGCAGCTCTGCAGCCACAGCCTCTCAAGGACACTGAAGGGAAATGATGGATTCTGCCTGTCTAACAGGGTAGCAGCAGCAGCAGCACTGGGCTCCTCCCATGCCAGCAGAGAGTACAATGAAGGCCCTGCTTCCTGCTGCTGGAAAATGCACTGAAGCACAGCCCTTTCTTTTAGCAGCTGCTGGCTTCCCACCACATCCTGACTATGCAATGAATTTAGCAGAAGTATTTTTTCAAGACCATGTATTATGGACTTAGCTTAGTAGACAACTTGTACAAGTAAATAGGACACACAGAAAATCAAGAAAGATTCTTTATTTGGTGCTAGCTAGATACAAGCATTAAATGAAATAGTATGGGCCAGACTCATCAGAAGGCAAGACAGACTTTAATAAGACATTTAAATCTTTTAAAGGTCTCAACAGCTAAAGCTCCACATCAGATAGATTCTAGGATATAGATACCCAGTATTATTTCATGTAAAAATCCAAGCCACCTTGCTTTGGTAAAGTAAGAATTTTACACTAAAAACATCCATAATTTAACCTACGTATCAGTATTTAGACGAGCTAGATTTGGTTTGCTATGTGAATTATAATGCTGAAGCTTAAACTCTCTCTACTCTTGGCTTGATGTTTATTTCTAGAAATAAAAAACCCCTCAGAGGAGAAACAGTAAACAGTATAGCTTGCACTGGTGAGAGCTATTGCTTCCAGCAGTGTTTCCCTCA